GAAAATAAGACAACAGTTCAAGGAAGTGGCTAACTTTCTAGCAGAAATTAAGTTGAAAGAAAAGGATGGAACACAGAGTGCATTATGCAGAATTAGTGTTTCAGAGATTCTTACTGTCCCTATATGAGTGACAGCAACACTATTGCCATCTGGAAGTGTCACAGAGTAGTTAACTTGTGCTGAAATATTAGTGAGCAAAGTGATGTCACAGACCATATGGTCTGTGGCACCTGTGTCAAGAATCCAGGGCGTGTTTTCTGGGGATTTTGATGCATAGGTAGAAAGGCATAGAGATATACCAGATAGGGTAGGCATTAGAACCTCGTTGGTGCAAGGACTGTTATCAGATCGAACTTGATTGGCTGAATGAACTGTGGTTGAAGTGTTCTGTTTACTGAGGAGTGTCATCAACTGTTTGTATTGCTCCTGTGAGATGGGAGATTGAGCTCTTTCAGTACTCTCAATATGTTTGTGTTCTTGCACAGGTATTCCAGTAGCCTGATTAGCTGAAGAGCCAACAAACCTTCCTCTGCTGTGTGGCTTGTTTGCTGGAGGATAACCATGAACCTTGAAGCACTTGTCTATGCTGTGACCAGGTATATTACAGTGGGAGCAAAATGGCCTGTTGACTTTAAGGCATCTCTCCAATGAATGGCCAGCAACCTTACAGTGAGTGCAAAAATATCTGGTAGTTCGATTGGCTGTGTACTGATTTCGAGCTCCTCTTCCCATCATTGCCATTGATTCAGTAGTGGGAGAATCCATTGAAATCTGCCTTCTCTTTTCTTCTTGTTGTATGACAGAGTAGACTTCATTTAATCCTGGAAATGGCTTAATAAGCAGGATTTGTGCTTTGATATCTTTGTATGATTCATTAAGTCCCATGAGGAACCGCATTACCCAATCCTTTTGTTGGTTATCAATGACATGACGAAGTCCTCCACAGGTGCAGTTAGGTATGGATTCATAATTCATCAACTCATCAAGGAGAGCCTTGTACTTTGAAAAATAAGCACTCACTTCATCTTGGTTTTGCATCAAAGTGCTGATAGCCTGTTTGACCTCATAGACCCGAGGTGCATTCTGCTGGCCTAACCTGTGTTCAAGCTCCAGCCAGAGCTCCCTAGCGGTGTCTGCATATAGTGTGCTGGTTTTTACTTCAACACACATGGTATTTTGCAGCCAGGCAATAACAAGATCATTGCAACGGAGCCAATGTTCCATCAGAACATCATTGGGATCTGTTGGTTCAGCTAAGCTTCCATCAACAAAGCCAAGCTTATTCTTAATTCTGAGTGCCCTTTTTATGGATCTCGCCCAGGCATAATAATTGGTACTGTCCAAGACGTGAGTAACCAGTATGGTTCCAGAACTATCGTTTCCTCCAATATAATAAGGGCTGTGAAGATGGGTAGGATCATGATGGTTTGGTATGGGGGCATTTTGCTGTGGATTTGGATTCAGATTTGGATTTTGAGGTGTAGCAGATTGCACGTCTGTGCTGTGTTCATCTGCCATTGTTAAAATGGCTCTGATACCATATTATAAAATGGAATTCAAGCTAT